TGGTTATTAAGTCTAGAAGACTTCTGGTGGAGTTCTTGGGGTCTTCTGTATAGAGTATCATGTCATCTGCAAATAATGACAATTTGACTTCTTCATCACCTATCTTTAGGGTGTGGCGCGGCGCAGCTTGGTTTCAGTTGGTCCTGCGTGGCTTGCGCTTCCTGCTCGGGCTGGGCGTGGGCAGGGTGCACCCGGGCACCTCTCACCCGGGCTTTTTAAAAACAATCTGAGATAGGCTCTTGCTAAGTTGGCCTAAGTGGGACTTGAACTTGTGGTTCTCCTGCCTCAGCCTCCCCAGTTCTGGGTTGGATTACAGGGGTGTGCCACCACACCTGGAGCTAGTGTAGTCTGGTTTTTTTGGTACCAGGGATCGAACTCGGGACCTTGCGCTTGCGAGGCAGGTGGTGGCACCACTGAGCTAAATCCTTGGCCCACGCTAGTGTATTCTTAAGGGACATGGACAGTACTTCCTCTGGTGCTTTAAATTCTTGAGTGGCAAGACATCTCAAGGCTATTGTGTAACATTCTGGATATTGAGATCACCTTATTTTATTGGTTTTATTAGATTATGACGAAGATGACTATGATGCTGACTGTGAAGACATTGATTGCAAGTTGATGCCTCCCCCACCTCCACCCCCAGGACCAATAAAGAAAGATAAAGACCAGGATGCTATTACTGGTGGTAAGCAGATACTATTTTTATCTAAGGAGCAAGTTTTCATTCATAAGTCCATGATTTCGGCACTCACATAAGAAACTATTAAAAATTAAGCTGGTATAGGAAAGGTGATGCTTTCAGAAATGATTCAGTCTCAAATTTTAGTATTGAAAAGGAAGTTTTACCTTTTTTTTTAAAGTTTTGCTTTTTAAACATGATAACACATTTATTTTGCAAATGATTTTTAATGAGGAGTTTTACTTTTAAAACATTTGGTAACAGGACTGGGAATGTAGCTCAGCAGTGCAGTGTCTGCCTGGCAAACTCAAGTCCCTGAGTTTGATTCCCAGTACCAAAAAAAAAATTGGTAACAGCTGGGTGTGGTGGTGCACACCTATAATCCTAGCACTGGAGAGGCTGAGGCAGGAGGATCACTGCAAGTTTGAGGCCAGCCTGGGCTACATAGTGAGTTCAAGGTCAGGTGAACTACATAGTGAGACCCTGTCTCAAAAAAAGGAAAAACTGGGCTGGGGATTCAGCTCAGTGGTGCCGTGCCTGCCTTGCGGGCACAAGGTCCTGAGTTCGATTCCCGGTACCAAAAAAAAAGAAAAAACATTTGGTAAGAGTATTTTAGTATGTACTTAGAAGACAGCAGTTTAGGTCAATGATTTTCAAATATGGCTGCCTATCACAATTACCTCAAGTCTCTAAAAAATAGAGATACCTGATTCTCACTCCTGGAGAGTCTAGTTCAGAAGATGTTGGGTACAGCCCAAGAATTTAGAGTTTCCTAAGAATTTCTGATAGAACCATAATCTGCATACTGGTGTTTGGAAACTACTCATTTAAAAAAGACTCTAGAATGTGTATAAATTGTATAGTGTCACCTACCATGTATTTAGAGATTTCAAAGTTTGGTAAGGTCATCAGTGAGTGTCTTACCGATTCCTATCCCTGTAATAGTAATAACTATATAGGCTTGAAGATGGGGGGAAGAACAGTGTCTTTGGTCTCCTGTATTTTTTTGTTTGTTTTGTTTTGTTGTTTTGAGATGGAGTCTCCCTGGGTAGTTCAGGTTGGCCTTTTATTCACTATGTAGCCCAGTCTGGCCTTGAACTCACAGTGATTCTTCCAGTCTCCCCCTCCCCAATGCTGGGATCACAGGTGTGCGCCACCATACCCAGCTTTGTCTTCTGTATTTTGAAGGTTGTGTTAACCTAAATTTGAGCCATTTCCTTTTTTAGTCTACAGGCTAAATATTACTGTTAACTTTGGATGTATAGATTTTTCTTTATGCTAAACAATCTCTTTGTTATCCTGTGGGCCTAAAAAGAATTATCTAGTTTATGAATTCTAGAACTGGACATGATAAGGGCCCTACTGATATAAGTAATTATGTAATCTTGCTATTATTAGTCACAACTTTGGGTACAATACTGGTTGCTTATGGAAAGTAGTAAATGTAGTAATAGTGTTTGTTTTCTTTCATCACAACCCTAGGGTACCATGTACAAGGTGAGTTGGGGATGGTGGGAAACGAGTTTGAAGAGTTTTCTGGGTTGCATACTAGTAGTCTGGGTGCTTGGGACTGTATCCCCTGCCATTAAGCCATGCATATAGCTTAGAGTGGGTGTTGGCTAAATATGAAGAAATATGTTCACAGTTATATGCCAAAGGGGTTTCTCTTCCTTATTTCAGTGTCTGAAGATGGAGAAGGCATCATCTTGCCCTCCATCATTGCCCCTTCCTCTTTGGCCTCAGAGAAAGTGGACTTCAGTAGTTCTTCTGACTCAGAATCTGAGATGGGACCTCAGGAAGCAACACAAACAGAATCTGAAGATGGAAAGCTGACCCTACCTTTGGCTGGGATTATGCAGCATGATGCCACCAAGTTGTTGCCAAGTGTTACAGAACTTTTTCCAGAATTTCGGCCTGGAAAGGTACTTTCTAGAGAATATCCACATTGTAAACCACTGACTTCTTCCAGATACCAAGTTCTGTTAAGATACTGAATGGATAAAATCTAAGTCTAAGGGTTTCTTTATTCAGTGTCATATTGTCTATGTAAGAATTCTTTATGCTATATTAGGGTTGGTTTTTTTGGAGACAGGGTCTTGCTGTATATTCCAGGCTGACCTTGAACTCTTAGTGATCCTCCTATGTCAGCCTCCTGAGTGCTGGGCTTGCAGGCATGTGCCACCATGCCTGGCCCAGGTCTTTTCTCTTGAGTTGTAAATATTCATAGGAAATGTTACTCTCATTAGAAATTGTCTTGCTGTCTAAAAAGAACTAGTCCAAATTATTAAGGGACATTTATTTACTTATTGGCAGTACTAGAGATTGAACCCAGGGCCTTCGCACTCAGCTACATCCCCAGCCCTTTTGTAGTTTTTTAAAACTTTATTTATTTTTGGGCTGGGGGTTTAGCTCAGTGGTTCCACCACTTGCCCTGCAAGCGCAAGAACCCAAGTTCAATACCTGGTACCAAAAAAATATTTATTTATTTTGAATTTCATGACAAGGTGTTTTGTTTTGTTTTGTTGTTGGTTTTGTTTTTTTAGGACCAAGGATCGAACTCGGGACCTTGCACTTGCGAGGCAGGCACCGGAACCATTGAGCTAAATCCCCGGCCCTTGTTTTGTTTTTTTGAGACAGGGTCTCACTATATAGTCCAGGCTGGCCTTGAACACTATATAGCCCAGGCTGGCCTTGAACTTATGGTAATCCTCCTGCCTCAGCCTCCCAAGTGCTGGGACTACAGGCATGCACCACCATGCCTAGCCCTGAGACAAGGTTTTGCTAAATTGCTCAGTCTTGCAGTCCTCCTCTCTCAGCTTCCCAGAATGCTGGGATTATAGGTATGCACCACGAAGCCCGGTTTAAGGGCTACTTCTTTACTTCTTTGGTAGATATTAGAAGTCTGAATGTATACTCTTTGATTCCCCCTCTATTGTTGATTGGATCCTTCAGGAGAGTTTTGAACCCCAAATGTTGCTGTTTTCTTAGCTGACACTGACTCTCTTATATAGTAATGTGTCCTGTGTTCTAGGTATTACGCTTCTTACGTCTTTTTGGACCAGGGAAGAATGTCCCATCTGTTTGGCGGAGTGCTCGGAGAAAGAGGAAGAAAAAACACCGTGAGCTGATGCAAGAAGAGCAGGTCCAGGAGGTGGAGTGCTCAGTAGACTCAGAAGTCAACCAGAAGTCTTTATGGAACTATGACTACGCTCCTCCACCACCCCCAGAGCAATGTCTCTCTGATGATGAAGTAGGTAAAATAGAGACTTGGGATTAAGGCCTACAAAGGAACAAAAAAGGGTCACCCTAGTTTGTGTCAAATTGGAAATACCACATTTGCAGGCCAAATTCTATGCTAATTATCAATGAGTAATCATGAGTCAATTCCAGTGGCTGTCTCTTCCCTGTTAGAAGTACAGTACTTGGCAGGGGGTAAGGGTGTGGAATGAGAGTGGTGCAGATGGTGATACACTGCTGAATAGGAAGGTTTGGAAAATAGGCAGAATGTGCCCTCATATATCTCCATGTTTTTATATTCTACCGCCAGAGAAAGATTCTCTTTCAAGAATACTCTTAAATTCCCCTCTTCAGGCTGGGTGTGGTGGCACATGCCTGTAATCCCAGCACTTGGAAGGCTGAGGCAGGAGGATCACCATGAGTTTGAGGCCAGCTTGGGCTACAAAGTGAATTCAAGGCCAGCTTGAACTACATAGTGAGACCTTGTCTCAAAAAAAACAACAAAAAAAATTTAAATAAATAAATAAAAATTCCCCTCTTCATTGTTAGTTCCCCTATAGCCTTAGGACATCAGTTACAGGGAAACACCCACCCCCCTTCTGCTTTTCTGCTGTGTTATAGATCACAATGATGGCTCCTGTGGAGTCCAAGTTTTCCCAATTGACTGGAGATACAGATAAAGTGACAGATACCAAACCAAGAGTGGCTGAGTGGCGTTATGGGCCTGCCCGACTATGGTACGATATGCTAGGTGTCCCTGAAGATGGCAGTGGGTTTGACTATGGCTTCAAACTGAGAAAGACTGAACATGAACCTGTGGTAAAATGCAGAATGATGGAGGTGAGCAACACTGGTATGGAAGAAGGGAATCATCATTATGCCCAGGGCTCTATCGCTTAATGATTAACTTTTTATTTGGAAACATACTCAGTAGAGTTTCTTTGGTAGATTTAGCTGGCTAAACCTTTTGCTTGGTAGTAGTATATTACCTTGGTAACGAGGCCCCATTTTAAGGCTTCTGTTTGTGAAATGAGTGCTGTTCAGGTTAGGAGTGGGAGAAGAGGCAGATAGTCTTCCATTACCAGGTGGTTTTCTCAAGTAAAATCAACACCACGTTTGTTATTGTTGTATCGGGGATTGAACCCAGGGCCTTTGCATTGAGCTGTGTCTCTGGACCTTTTTTTGTTTTTTTAATTTTATTGGTACATTTTATTGGTACACTTTAGGTATACATCTGGACCTTTTATATTTTATACTTTGTTTTTGAGACAGTCTCACTGTATTGCTAAATTGTTAAGGATGGGTTTGAACTTGGCCAAGCACCACTTTTGATGTGTCTCATGTGTCTGTTAGATTTGGAGGGAACTTAGACCATTGATCAAGGATTTGTTGTTTGTTCCTTTCGTATCCTACTTCTATAGGAATATAAGAAACTTGAGGAAAGCAATGGCACTGATCTTCTGGCAGATGAAAACTTCCTGATGGTGACACAGCTACATTGGGAGGATGATATCATTTGGGATGGTGAAGATGTCAAACACAAAGGGACAAAACCTCAGCGTGCGAGCCTGGCAGGCTGGCTTCCTTCCAGTATGACTAGAAATGCCATGGCTTACAATGTTCAACAAGGTATCCATCTGTTTTAACTCTGTCTAGCATACTACCCTTCATCTCAGTCATCCTAAGTCGCCTTGGCTGTGATCTTTTGGGCTGCTGAGGGATAGTGAAATGTTTGGATCTTAGTCCTGATGCTAATTCTTAATAATTTTTTATCCTATTAATATGCTAGCCAGACCCTTGTTAAACATTTAGGCTGTTCACGTTTTGACTATTTTAAACAATATTGCAATGAGCATTTTGTCTGCAACAATGTTTTTTGTTTGTTTTGAGACAGAGTTTTGCTATGTAGTTCAGGCTGGCTTTGAATTCACCAGGTAGCCTAGGCTGGCCTCCAGCTCATGGCAGTGCTTCTGCCTCATCCTCCCAAATGCTGGAATTAAAGGCGTGGGCCACCATACCAGGCTAGCAACAGTTTTTAAAAGGAAATACATTATCTAGTAGATTCCTTTTCAGTAGCTACATGAATAACTGCTAACATTTGTTCTTTTTTTCTCTTTGCTAGAACCTTGATTGAAGGGGACATAAATGTTTTGTCTATTACTATTTATTCCTCCTGTTTTGACTACATTTTATTTTATTTGACTAGGTTTTGCAGCCACTCTAGATGATGACAAACCTTGGTACTCCATTTTTCCCATCGATAATGAGGATCTAGTGTATGGACGTTGGGAGGACAATATCATTTGGGATGCTCAGGCCATGCCCCGGCTGTTGGAACCTCCTGTTTTAACTCTTGATCCCAATGATGAGAACCTCATTTTGGGTATGTTACTGGCAAGCCTGTGTTCTTTTTTTTTTTTTTTTTTT